CAGGCAGCTTCCCTGGTGGCTCAGGGGCAGGGAATCCGCCTACCAGTGCAGGAGACCCAGGTTCGATCACGGAGTCGAGAATATTCCACATGTCTCAGAGCACCTAAGCTGGCGCGCTACAACTCGGGGCACTCCAACTACTGCACTGTGCTGAAGAGCCCGGAACCGTAACTAGTGAAGCCGGAGAGCTCCACCTCCACGTTGAGAGAAGCCGCTGTGTGGGCAGTGAGAAGCCCACACTCCGCAACTGGAGGAAAGCCCGAGCAGCAACTAAGGCCCAGCACTGCCAGAAAAATAACCCCTTACCAGGGTTGTTGTTGAGGGTCGAATCCTGAGAGATTTAATTTCTCATCTTTATATAGCTTGCAAATTTTCTCTAATGATTACCTCTGACTTTTATAAAAGTACGCGTATATTGGGGGGGAGGCTGTATTCTTTTTAAAAGAAGTATTTCTATTTGGGATAATGGAAAACTTCTGGAAATAGTTGTGATGATTACACAACACTGTGACCGTACTTTATGCCACTGAATTACAGTACAAATGGTTAAAACAGTAAAATTTATGTTATGCATGTATTTTTTTTTTTGTTATGCATGTCTTATCACAAAAAAAGTAAAAACATTTTCTGGAAGGATACTGGTACAAATATTCCACAAGATAATGGCTCCTCCCTAAAAAACTACTTATTTCACGATATGGCCAACCTAAAATAAAATCAATTAAAAACCTATAATGGAGATACGACATCAGCTTTGGGAAGGGAGGCCTGGCAACAATGAGTATCAACAAGACAGTGAATGGCCTGTAAGTGAGAAAAAGAACGTGTCACTGTGTTCCCAGTACCATCTAGGAAACACAGACCCTTTTCTAGAAGGTACAACACAGAAATGCGCCCTGTAATAACAACATAGTACATTTCTCTAGCATTCAATTTATAAAGAAGATGGTGAAGAACTTAGGCTTTGGAAGCAGATGCAACTGAGGTGGAGTCCAGGCTGCTCCACTAAGTTTATGTCACTTTAGGTTAGGCAGGGCAACTAACCTTTTTTTTTCTTTAATTTTTTGGCTGTGCAACATGGCATGCAGAATCTTAATTCCCCCATCAGGGATTGAGCCCACACCCGTTGCAGTGGAAGCACAGTTGTAACCACTGGACTGCCAGGGAAGTCCCAACTAATCTTTCTAAACCTTAGTTAACTGGGCTTCCCAGGTGGCACAGTGGTAAAGAATGCCAATACAGGAGATACAGGACACGTGGGTTCGATCCAGGACGATTTCCTGGAGAAGGGAATGGCAACCCACTCCAGTATTCTTGCCTAGGAAATCCCATGGACAGAGGAGCCTGGAGGGCTACAGCCCACGGGGCTGCAAAGAGTCAGACATGACCGACTATGTACGCACCCATGCATATAACCAGTCTTAGGGCTTCCCTGGGGGTTCAGTGGTAAAGAACCCTCTTGTCAATGCAGGAAACACAGGTTCAGTCCCTGAGTCAGGAAGATCCCCTGGAGAAGGAAATGGCAACCCACTCCAGTATTCTTGCCTAGAGAATTCCCATGGACAGAGGAGCCTGGAGGGGTACAGTCCGTGAAGTCAGAGTCAGACACAACTTAGTGACTAAACAACATGAGTGGTCTTATAAAATGGGACAAATAATAGTCACGACCTTAGATGAAAATCAGATGAGACTATGCATGATAAACTCAGTCTCGTGCCTGCCTCATAAGATCTGATAACTATTAGATATTAATTTTTATTTTTATACTTTGTTATTGCTTATTTCAACCTTCCTATAAGGCAGTCGGTATACCACAGTGAAAGACAGCACAGGCTCTGGAGCCAGGCTAGAAATCCTAGTCAATGATGTGAACTTGGTTATTTAACCTCATGCTGTGCTGTGCTTAGTCGCTCAGTCATATCTGACTCTTTGCAACCCCATGGACTGTAGCCCACCAGGCTCCTCTGTCCATGAAGATTCACCAGGCAAGAATACTGGAGTGGGTTGCCATGCCCTTCTCCAGGGAATCTTCCCAACCCAGGGTTCGAACCTAGGTCTCCCGCACTGCGGGCAGATTCTTTACCAACTGAGCCACCAAAGAAGCCCCATTTAACCTCATAGCAAGGTTCAATTTATAAAAATAGTATTTACCTCAAGGCGTCTAAGGATTAAATGAAGTATGTACGTGGACTACTTATCAAATGCTGGCTGCAAAGAAAACGATTAGTACACACTAGCAATTCTTATTAACACTATTGACTTAAGGGGAAGACAGAGGCCTGCAGAGTGTTAAGACCTGCTCCAGAGAGTTTATTAACTATCATTTATGCTCAACCTAATTCCTTCTTCTGTAATTTGAGACTCAAAAAACAATCTATTAATATGGCTGCTAGAAAAAAATATATACCCTGGAAGAAAGGAAAATGAGGAGCTGGACAGTGGTAATGAGAGAACAGAAAAATTCCAGTTATGAGAAGAGTAGAGCCTGGCTGTAGTGAACTCACTGACTCTGTTATAAATATGGATTTGCCTAACACTGAAGAAGATAAAGAGCACTAGGCTGATCAGGCCCTGATCAGCCCAATCTGAGCTGAACATCAAGCTTCCTGAACTGGTGGTTTGAGAGACAGCCTCCTTACCCAAGTAACCTGCCCAGCCCACGCCATGTCTGCATGACTAACCCACACAGGCAAGTTACTAAACCATGCAGGGTAGAGAAAATGGATATGAGAAAACTTGCCAGGCAAAAAGCAGAAAGTCAGTGGCTATGCAATGTGGGAGGAATACAAATCACTCTGTACTAGGAGGCGAGATCAGAGTTCTAGTCCCAGGCATGAAGGCATATTAAATCTGCTTACTAAATAGCTTCTTTTCTTTTTTGCACAAATATTTGCAAATGCACAAAATGTTAACTATAAAGCACTAAGAATATAATGAACAACTATAGAATCATCCAAGAATCAGAAAGTTACCAGTAACTTGCATCTACTCATATATCCCTCATCTACTTATATCTCATCTTCCTGCCCAGCCCCATGCTGCCAACTTAACCTGTACCCTCACTTTTTCCACTAATAGCTATTTTCGATCCACATATTAACTGACCTCCACACTGCTTGATACTGTTGCTCCCACCCCACCTGCGCTGATGAACACCTTCTTTACTTGGTCTCTGTAATAATGGCAGCCCTTTTGTTTCAACCTTTCTGGTTGTTCATTCTCTTTTTCCCTTAAGGCTCCTTTTCCTCTACCCAGCCAGTTTTCCCCAAACTCCATCCAAGGCCTTCTCTTCTTCTCACTCTACAATCTCCTTGGATTCCTTAGGCCCTCTCTTTGCGTCAGTCACCCCAGTCCCCATCCCTCCTCTCTACTGTAGACCTGCCATCTATGCTCAACAACTACAGGGTATCCTAGACCAAACTCCTGACCTTCTTCCTCAAACGGCATCCTCTCAGGGTTCTCAGCACAGTGAAGGGCACCACTGCCCTCTGCTGCATAAGTCAAAGTCACCCATAACACCCACCTGGAGCCGCCCTTGACACACCCTTTTCCCAGAGTCAGCCCACCAAGTCTTCTCGATTTGATCTGCTGCATTACTCGCGATGCACTCTGGTCTAGTTCACCATCACCACCATAATCTAAGCTCCCTTCCAAGTACTCCCTACTTGACTTATTCCCAACAGTATTTGTGCAACTAACAAGCTCCTCCCTCACACGACTGCCTCTTTCCCCAGCTATTGCTTATCCTCCCACCCCCTGGTAGGTCACTTATCATTCACTTCCTTTGGAGAGCCTTCCATACCAGGTCCGCTCCTCTTAAGTATAAATTCTTACTGAACCACGCACCAATGTCTTTATCACTTATCATCAATATAATTTTATGCTGACTTGTATGATCTTGATAATGTTTGCTTCCCTTGCCAGAGCTCCATGAAAACAGGAAATATGTTTTTTTATTCTTACCACTGTATCCTCTATATACAGCAATGTGCCTGGCCTTAGTAGGCACTTAAAAAATATCTGTTTAAAGAATGAATGATTGATTGAATGAATAAATTATATAGCACAGAAAGATCATTCAGCTATTGGGGAGATGAGGGATTCATAAAATAGCCTTAAAAACTGTCTCTTTTTCTTCTTATATAATTTCATTCTGAGAAACGTCTTCATTTTTTATTTAATTTCCCAGGAAAATAAAATTATATCCAAGAGGGGAGTCAAAAAAATTCCTGGGTCCCAAGACCCCATATTGTCAGGACAAAAACTCTGGAATCAAGACAGTTTTTGATAGAAGTCCCAGCTCTGGCACTTGTTAGCAGAATGACCTTGGGAAAGTCATTTCAATGTGAGCTCAGTTTTCTCATCTACAAAATGGAGAAAAGACTCAAATCCCTTACACTTAAGAATATTAATTTAATAAAATACAAAGCATAACATATTACCCAGGGTTTGTGGGGTTTTTTCTACTTTATTTTACTATTGCTGTTGTTAGTTTACTAATATTAGTACCAAAGGTTACACTCATAACAGAGACTGAGCAGACAGACAGCTTCCAAAGTCTCTCCCAGCTCTAAAAATCCCACCATGTTGTCAATGATGAACAACATTCTTTTTGAAAAATACCTGAATCTTGCATGAACTGTGAAATGACAGGCCTAAAGGACAATACCCCCCAAAAGCTGCATTCCTGAAAAATCATTCCTAGAAAAACTCTGCCAAAGGGCCAGGAGGGCATCATGTTTATTGCATGCCACAGTGTTGCTACCCTGCTATGCCATTTTTCTGGAACTTCTTGGTATGTGGCGAACACAGAGAAATTCTAAAGCAGGCTATAAGAAGTCATTCTGAAACTCTAAGTGAGGGGAATCACCCTCACCTGAATCTTTCCACATACATTCCTGATTTGACTTCTGACCCATGTACATGAGTTAGGAGGGATTTTATGGTTCAGTGCGTGCCTGCCTTCCCTATCAGTCACCATGCTGAATGACTGTGGGTACCTGGGATCCAGCAGGCCTTGTTCCACTCCCCAGGCCATCTCTCTTACAGCACTGCTGATCTCATGACGGGATGTGTAAGCAAAACAAATGTTCAGGAAACACCTGAGAAGGGAAGAACAGAATAATTTACCAAGAGGGACGGGGAGTAAGCAGAGTCCCTGATTACAGAGCACCCCTTCTGTGGTAGAACACACATCAAAGGTTAACCATGGATACCTCTGAAAGGCGAGATTATTAGTTTTTTGAGTTTTCCTATTTTCCTTGGGAAAAAACACATTAGTTTTGTAATAAGAAAAATACTAACTGATCCTTATTATTCACTTAATCTTCTTGCCTTCTGCTAGCACCTGGCTTTCAGAGGATGTGAATTCATTGTGATTATTAGAACAAGTAGAGAAGAATAGGAAGGAAATCTGATGTGAAACAAATCCACTGCCAAATATACATTATATTGCAAAGCCACACATAATGAAGTTTGGATTATTAAACTCTGTTCCCATCTGCAGCAGCATGTCCTCCTCAGGTCATCCCATCTATTGGTTAAAGCAGTGGGACAGAAAGAGAATTTCTTGAGGGATCTGTCTTCAGAGACAGGGCTAAGGCCTGATACATTCCTACCCCATCCTCTGTCAATTAAAAAATACCCAAAACCACAAACATATATATTTAAACATGTATACATATATATATATATATATATATATATATATACACACAGACACACATTATATGTACGTAAATAGGTGCATATATACATATATACACACACAAATATATATGTATTTACATACTTAAATATGTGTGTGTGTGTATATATATGTATATATATAGGAGGGGGCAAGGCCCATGAAGGATGAAGATAAGAAACTGCATGTGTGAACATACACACATGCAACAAGGTACTGCAGAAACATCTCCTTCTGCCCTACAGCTGAAGGAAGAAGCTTCTAAGCATCCAAAACCAACTCCTTATCGCCTCTTGTACCAAATGCAGGCCATGAGAGGCCCAGGAAGCCTCCCTCCAGTCAGACGGAGTCAAAGGTTGATAGAGGCCCCTAAAGGAAAATCCAAAGACTTACTTGTTGTAGTTCCTGGTGGTCTGCACAGCCTGTGCGACCAGCTCCTGGAGATCCAAGGGCAACAAATGCAGATCACCCAGGACCCGGATACATACCCCATGCTTCTGCAGTTTCTCCCTGATCAGGGGGGAAAGGAGGCAGGTTTGGGAGTTGGGAGAGAGCACCTGCTGAGCCGGAGAGAGCAGTGCTTAGATAATATTCAATTACCAGTGTGAGTGCTTTCCTGTGTGTCAGGCACCATACTGCATGTATTATTTCACTGCATGCCTTCAACGGCTGTGAAAGGAATTTAGCACATTCCCTGTTCTACAGCGGGAAACGAGGCTCAGGCAGAATAGGCTGAGGCTCAGATAGGGATTGCCCAAGGTCAAACAACCATCAAGAGCTGTGTCAGGTCTGAAACCTAGGTCTGTCTGATTTGGAAACCCAAACTTCTTTACCACATATTACACTGCCTCACATGTCCCTGTTGGCAAGCTGCATCACACGGATTCTATGCTATCTGTCCCATTTTGACAGGCGAACAAACTCAAGGGCAGGAGTTGTATTACTGGTTACTTTTGTTAACTTCTCGTGAACTGTAAGTATAGCAACATCTAACATTAATTATATGTTTGTTAATTGCCAGACATTGGTCTGGTCTTCCCTGATAGCTCAGTTGGTAAAGAATCCACCTGCAATGCAGGAGACCCCGGTTTGATTCCTGGGCCAGGAAGATCCACTGGAGAAGGGATAGGCTACCCACTCCAGGATTCTTGGGCTTCCCTTGTGACTCAGGTGGTAAAGAAACCACCTGAAATGCAGAAATCTGGGTTCAATCCCTGGGTTGGGAAGATCCCCTGGAGAAGGGAAAGGATACCCACTCCGGTGTTCTGGCCTGGAGAATACCATGGACTGTATAGTCCATGGGGTTGCAAAGAGTCGGACACCATTGAGGAACTTTCCCTTTCACTTTTTCAGACATTGGTCTAAGTGTTTTACACACATTAAGTGTTTTACACGAATTCCATTTTTATATCTACCTTTGAGGCAGACACCATTACCATTCCCCTTTTACAGATGAAGAAACTGAGGCCCAGGGAGGTGAATTTGTTCAAGATCTGACATCTGGTGAGTAGAAAGTCAGATACGGAATCAAGGCAGTCTGGTTCAAGGGCCTGTTTTTTAAATCACAGCATTACACTGCCTCCATATAGTAACTCCCAAACGGCAGAGTGAGCATGAACTCACTGTTCCCTAGTCAGCTTCTTGAACTTGGGAATGCTAAGGAGAAACAGAATGACTGATGTTTGGAAAACAGGAGCTCCGTAACAAGAAGTATACTGTGGGGCAAGGGTATCTGGCAGGTTCTGGAGAACCCTGATCCAGAGTTGAAGGCTGTACCCACAGCCTTTCCACCCTGCAACCCTCAACCACATTTCTTCCAAGAGTGAGCAAGATCTAATCACCTAGTTTTGAGAACCCACTTCAGTGCTAGTAGACAAATGTATACTCAAAATCAAGGCAATATTTGAATAAGAATACCTAGATTTGGGAATTCCTTGGCAGTCCAGTTTTTAGGACTCTGTGCTTCCACTGCAGGGGGCACAGGTTCAATCCCTGGTCAGGGAACTAAGATCCCACATGCCCTGGGATGCGGCCAAAAAAGAGAAAGAATACCTAGATTCAAGCCCTAGTGCTACTGCTTACTATCTGACCTAGCATAACTGCTAAGCCTCGCTGAGCCTCTTACCTTGTAAACTGCGGGTGCTAACCATCTCTGCCATTCTGGGAAAGTGCCACACTGTGAGAGTACACATGGCCTGAAGCAGGTCTACAGGGAAGGAGCTGTGAAAGTGCTGGCAAGGAGCCAGGGGTCTGGGTTCCCAGCCTGGTTCTGCCACTAGTTTGCTGTGTGACCATGGGCAAACCTTTCTCTTCTTTCCACAAGGGTTAGTTTCCCAACTGATGAAACCAAACTAGACCAGTGGTTTTCCAAACTTCTTTTAGCCAAACAACTCTTTCTTTGAATCAAATCTGTAACAGATGTCCAATATATAAGACAGATAAACATAAAGCAGCACTGTTCCTTCTGCGTCCTTGCACGCCCACCCGTCACAACACTGGGGTTCTGTGGCACACTATAGGAAAACCACCACTAAGGTTTCTTATTGCTGTATCCAGGACTTCATAACCTAAGACCATGTCCTCTACTACTGACTAATTAGAACAATCTCAGGAGCACCTTTTAAGAACTGTAAGATTACCTCCTGTCTCTTGGAGTGCAGTATAGTAGACAACAGCTTAGCTCCAGAGTCAGAAAGATTCTGTGTGTTCTGGCTCTGTCTGTCTGATAGCTGCGCAACCCAAGATACACACCTAAACGTCACTGGTTTTTACTTTCTTCCTGTCTAAAACTGGGATAATCATACCTTTCTCGCAGGATAATGTGAATATTAAATGAGAATCCACATCAGGCTCAGGGCCTGACACATAGTATAAGCACTTTAAAAAGGCAAGATTAGTGTGAAATACAGAAGAATCTGAACACCTGGAATGCGTCCCCATTACCTCCGTCCCCAGTCCCTTGGGTGTGACTTCTGAGCCCCAAAGGAGGCAGTAATGTCTGTGGCCCAGCGTCTCACCATCTTAACGTGGACAGAGAAGCCTGGCTACTCTCCCCTCCTCTAGACCCACACAGGGACAGAAGTGACAGAAATGTCCTAGGCCCAGCTCTGCTAGAGCTCTAAGCATTCTGTTCTTTCATCTGCCTGGTCCTGGAGTGAGGAGGAGCTGGGCAGAGAATGGTTGTAATGAAGACTTTGGGGCAGTCCAGGCTGGAGAGAGATGCACACTTTGAAGCAATTAATTCCCACCAAACTTCCTCTTTGTCCTGTTCTGGCTTTGCTCCCCAAGTTAAGGCTTAAATATAGTGACAGATAAGACTAGTATCGACTCATCCCCATAGGCCTTTTGTGCATCATCCAGTCCCTTCCAAGGGAATATACAGGGAAGTGTAGTAGCTTTTTAGGGATGACTGCACCACAGAAAATGACTTTTTCAAAGTTTCTCTTACTCTACTCCCCTGGTCACAGCTTACTGGTCCCAGGATAGAAATCCGATCTAAGGTGGGCTGCTTAGAACTAGAACCAATTAGGGTTTTAGTTCATTCTGGGCTGCGCTCTTGAAGCAGACAAAGCTGGTCTGTGGAGCAAAAGAAGTAAATGCCCAAGGAGGCATTTAGAATCCATTATCTAATGGATTTCACTTCTTAACTTCAGTTTTACCTGAGGCTGGCCATACTTGTCCTTGAATTCTATGAAATACCTCTGTACCCTGAAATAAATGTTTCCTTTAAAAAAAAAGAAAAACTAGCTTGTCATACTTGCCACTGAGGAGGTCTTATTAATAGCAGAAAGACTTAAGAGTTCCTTAACTAGCCCCAGAAAAGAGAGCTGAGGGTTAGGATAAGGCTGGAGGTGGTGGAAGGACACACGTGCCCCTCTGATAGCATCTTACTGTTCTTCCATCAGGCGGCTAAACTTCTCCCGGGCCAGATCCATTAGCCCGTCTACTTCACTCTTGGAGCGTTTGAAGTTCTCGATGCTGAACGCATAGACCGTCACCTCCAGGATGCCCAAGTTCAAACACCAACGCAGAGTCTGAGGGGGAGAAGGCAAGGAGCTAGGATACAAGGAAGAGCAGGAAGGGAAACAGGACATGCCTTAGCCCCGACTCAGTGCTGGAAGTGGGAGACAGACTTTTTTCCTTCCCACTCTGGGTAAAGGTAGGTTAATACCAATGCTTCTCTCAGAATAATGAACCAAACAAGCAGAAAGCCACCACTTGAGAGACTGAAAAATGCGAACTTAATGAGTATTATTATGCTGATGCTACTGTGGTTTACTGGAAAGAACTCTTTGCTGAGAGAGTGAAGTTATAGGTCCTAGCCCCTAACTCCATCATGCACTTGCTATGTGACTGCTGGCATTTCATTTAACTCTCAGGGCCTAAATCTCACCAGGTGGCTAAAGGCATATAAGAACACAGGTATTACTGCCCACATCATCATTATTCCAGAAGACTGAGAGGCTGATGAGTTACAAGACAAGCAACAACTGCACAACTGTGTAGCATTTAAGTCTCCAAAGTGTTTTCACAGACATTATTTCATTTGATTCTTCAAGCAACCCTTTGAGAAAGGCATTACTGTTTTCATGCCTACTTTACAGATAGTAAAACTGAGGCTCGGAAAATGAAGAAATATATCAAAAGTTCACAGCTCTACTGTATGAATCCATTATGTGAGGTTCTAGAACAGCAAAAACTCATCTGGAGTGACAGAAATCAGAAGAGTGGTTGCCTGCAGAGCGGAAGAGGAGGTAGCACAGGGTTTCACGGGGAGGCGGCACAAAGGAACCTTCTAGAAAGATGGAAATGCTCTACATCTTGATAGGGGTGTGGAATAGACTCATGAGTGCAATTGTCAAAACCCCAAATTTGTGCATTTCCCTGTATGAAATTACACCTCAAAGAAAAGAGAAGTAAAACTCAAATTTAAACTCAGTCTTCTGGTATTTCTCGAATCCAGTGACACTAAAGGTGGAGAACAAACTGGAGCTGTTGAGATAGGGCCTAGAGGCTAAAGGCAAGGGACAGAAGACATTCAAACAGAACTGAAGAAATAAAGCTGAAGAACCACCTTTCTAATTTGCTATCAGACACACAAACACATTAACTGCCACCTGAAGAAAATTACCAGCGCAAACCTGAAACCTGAATAGGCTTGGGCCCTGAAGACCTTACCAGGCAGCAAACTTAGTGGGTACCTCTGGGTCGGGGCCCACCACTGACCTCAGTCAGTAAAGACGCTAATAACAGCTTCAATTTTTGAGCACTTCCACATGCTTTTTCCACGTGCCACATGCTTTTCATTGCCCCATATTATTTAATCCTTATGTTATTTCCCCATATTATAGATGGAGGAACTGAGGCAAAGGGAAGCTATGTAACTTAAAGCAGGTCACAGAGCCAGAAGTGGCAGAGCAGGGGTGCCGTGAATTCTGAGTGACCACAGAGGTTAACCTCCTAAGCACTAGGGCAAAACTGCCTCTAGTCACAAAAGAGAAACTGAGGTCAACAGACCCGAAGACCTCCACAATGTTGGAGAGAACTCCACAACCACTCATTCAAGGCAAAAAGTATCACTGTGCTGGCTTCACGCTATGTTCTTATGCCAGGAAGCTGAGATCCGCGGGCCAGAATTTCACAAAGATCAACACAGTCCATTGTTATCGTTAAATTTAATGTTTCCCAATTTGCAATAGGCATTAAAACCATAAAATGCCAATGACCTTTGTTGGAGTCATGTCCTTGTTTGTCTGGTACTTTTCCTACTTTAAGCACTTAAAGGCCCGTGTCCTGAAAAACACCCTCAATCTCAGGATGGGTGGTCACCCCCTACTTTTGCTCTGGAAATGTCACTTCTGAGAATTTATTCTAAACTAGTGCCATTTATGAAAGTGAAAAGCGAAAGTGTTAGCTGCTCAGTTGTGTCCAACTGTTTGTGATCCCATGGACTGTAGCCCACCAGGCTCCTCTGTCCATGGGATTCTCCAGGCAAGAATACTGGGGACATTCCCTTCTCTAGTGGATCTTCCTGATCCAGGTATGAAACCCAAGTCTCCTGAATCGCAGGTGGATTCTTTATCATCAGAGCCACCAGGGAAGCCCAGTACCATTTATAATGTCCAATAACAGTGGGGCAGCTGAACAAACCATGTCGGATCCTCAGGATAAAATGTTCCACAGTCATTAAAACATACAGGAAGAAAGGCTACATATGAACCTAGAAAAATAATTGCCCAAATGTCAAGAAAAAACAAGGTTATCAAAGCTATAGATAAAATATAGACCAATGGAACAAGATAGAAAGTCCAGAGATAAACCCACACACCTATGGGCACCTTATCTTTGACAAAGAAGGCAAGAATATACAATGAGGAAAAGACCAGTCTCTTCAATAAGTGGTGTTGGGAGAACTGGACAACTACATGTAAAAGCATAAACTCAAAATGAATTAAAGACCTAAATGTAAGACCAGAAACTATAAAACTCCTAGAGGAAAACATAAGGAGAACACTGTATGATATAAATCACAGCAAGATCCTCTATAACCCACCTCTTAGAATAATGGAAATAAAAACAAAAATAAACAAGTGGGACCTAATTAAACTTAAAAGGTTTTGCACAGCAAAAGAAACTATAAACAAGGTGAAAAGACAACCCTCAGAATGGAAGGAACTATAACAAATGAAACTGACAAAGGATTAATTTCCAAAATATACAAGCAGCTCATAAAACTCAATAGCAGAAAAACAATCAACCCAATCAAAAAGTGGGCAAAAGACATCCAGATGGCTAATAAATACATCAAAAAGATGCTCAACATCATTATTAGAGAAATGCAAGTCAAAACTACAATGAGATATCACCTCACACCGATCAGAATGGCCATTATCAAAAAATTTACAAACAACAAGTGCTGGAAAGGGTGTGGAGAAAACGGAACCCTCTTGTACCGTTGGTACTCTTGATGAAAGAGAAAGAGGAGAGTGAAAAACCTGGTTTAAAGCTCAACATTCAGAAAACTAAGATCATGGCATCCGGACACATCACTTCATGGCAAATAGATGGGGAAACAGCAGAAACAGTGGCTGACTTTATTTTTCTGGGCTCCAAAATCACTGCAGGTGGTGACTGCAGCCATGAAATTAAAAGACACTTACTCCTTGGAAGGAAAGTTATGACCAACCTAGACAGCATATTAAAAAGCAGAGACATTACTTTGTCAACAAAGGTCTGTCTAGTCAAGGCTATGGTTTTTCCAGCGGTCATGTATAGATATGAGAGTTGGACTATAAAGAAAGTTGAGCATCGAAGAATTGATACTTTTGAACTGTGGTGTTGGAGAAGACTCTTGAGAGCCCCTTGGACTGCAAGGAGATCCAACTAGTCCATCCTGAAGGAGATCAGTCCTGGGTGTTCATTGGCAGGACTGATTTTGAAGCTGAAACTCCAATACCTTCGCTATCTGATGCAAAGAGCTGACTCATTTGAAAAGACCCTGATGCTGGGAAAGATTGAGGGCAGGAGAAGGGGATGACAGAGGATGAGATGGTTGGATGGCATCACCGACTCAATGCACATGGGTTTGGGTGAACTCTGGGAGTTGGTGATGGACAGGGAAGCCTGGCGTGCTGCGGTTCATGGGGTCGCAAAGAGTCGGACATGACTGAGTGAATGAACTGAACTGAACTCAACTGTACTGTTGGTTGGAATGTAAATTGATACAGCCACTATGGAAGACAATATGGAGATTCCTTAAAACACTATGAATAAAACTATCATGGGCTTCCCTGGTAGCTCAGCTGGTAAAGAATCTGCCTGCAATGCAGGAGACCCGGTTCAATTCCTGGGTTGGGAAGATCTCCTAGGGAAGGGATAGTCTACCCACTCCAGTACTATGGGGCTTCCCTGGTGGCTCAGCTGGTAAAGAATCTGTCTGCAATGTGGGAGATCTGGGTTTGATCCCTGGGTTGGGAAGATCAGCTGGAGAAGGGAACTACCCACTCCAGTATGTCCAGGAAGTCAGTATGGAGATTCCTTAAAAAACTATGAATAAAACTATCATACAATCCAGCAATACCATTACTAGGCATATACCCTGAGGAAACCATAATTGAAAAAGATACATGTACACTAGTGTTTATTGCAGCACTATTTACAACAGCTAGGACATGGAAGCAACCAAGATGTCCACAGACAAATGAATGGATAAAGAAGCTGTGGTGTATATATACACAATAGAATATTACTCAGCCATAAAAAGGAACACATTTGAGTCAATTCGAATTAGGTGGATGAACCTAGAGCATATTATATAGAGTGAAGAAAGTCAGAAAAACAAATATCATATGTTAACACAAATATATGGAACCTAGAAAAATGGTACTGATGAACCGATTTGCAGAGCAGCAATGGAGACACAGAGAACAGACTTATGGACATGGGAAGGGGGGCGGAGAAGGAGAAGGTGGGATGAATGGAGAGAGTAGCATAGAAACATTTACACTACCATATGTAAAACAGATAGCCAATGAAAATTTGCTATGACTCAGGGAACACAAACCCCCTATAGCAACCTAGAGGGGTGGGAAGGGGTGGGAGGTGGGAGGGAGGTTCAAGAGGGAGGGGACATATGTATACCTATGGCTAATTCATGTTGATATATGGCAAAAACCAACACAGTATTCCTGAAAACTCCAATACTTTGGCCACTTGATGCGAAGAACTGATTCACTGGAAAAGACCCTGATGCTGGGAAAGATTGAAGGCGAGAGAAGGGGATGACAGAAGATGAGATGGTTGGATGGCATCACCAACTCAGTGGACATGAGTTCAGTAAGCTCCAGGAGCTGGTGATGGACAGGGAGGCCTGGCATGCTGCAGTCCATGGGGTTGCAAAGACTTGGACACGACTGAATGACTGAACTGAACTGAAAAATAAATAATTTTTTTCAAAAGCTATAGATATAATTTTATGGATGTTAAGTCATGTGGAACATACTATAAGGACTAGGATGAGGCACAGAAAAATATAAACTGTTGATTAAAGTGGTAAGAGGAGACAATTTTGTTCTTATATCGAATATTTTGTGATGATTCACTAGACGGTTTAATTTTTTATAAATGTTGATATGAGACTTAGAGCTAGCAAACAAGCAAGGAAGAAAACAAACAGCTATAAAAGCACTCTCAAACCACAGCAAACTCAGGGCTTGGTTTTTTAGCCATAATCCAATTCTCACCAGACCATTCACCCTTGATTCTGCCACCCACACCCACCTCTGCCAGTTTGTTGAAGCCCTGTGAGTGGCCCTCCTGCCGCTCCACTTGGCACTTCTTGGCATAGCGACGGTTCCCATCCATTATAAATGCAATGTGTTTGGGCATGGGGCCTGCCTGTGAGGTAAGAAGACAAATGGACACATCACATAATACTCAGAGATAAAAGGAGACAATATGCCAAGCTGATAGGCTTGAGTTATATGATAAAAGTCCTGAGGAAGGGAGTTGAGTATTCTGTACTTTTTTGCTCAATACATAAGCATTAAGCACTTCTATTTATTTTTATTTATGTGTTTATTGAGCACTTACTACATGTCAAATACTATGCTGGATTTTTTATACTTCACCTTAGTTTTTTTTTTCATCATACACACATGTGAAGTAAATAGTATTATCTGCATTTTACACATGAGAAAACTGAGGCTCAGAGAGGTCAAGTGACCTGCACAAGTTACACAGCCAAGAAGAGACAAAGTGAGAATTCACACTGAGGTCTATGTGCTTTCAGAGTACATGTCTTAACCACATGCCCTTAACCACCAGATTGGTTTCATTAGCTTTCAACTGGAAGACATAGGAGGGATGGTGATGGATGTGGTCAAATGTAGAGGGCATCCTCCTCATAAAACAGGCATCCACTTCCATTGAGTCCTGTCACACATGAATATAGGCCTAAAATTGTTAGATCTTCTTATTTCACAAGAGAAGACACTCAAGATTTTTATAAAAATTTCAATGTCAGGAGACACTTCAAAACAAAAGGCATTTGGGAGGCAAACAAAACTTCTTATCTGGCTTAGTGCAGCCTTACCTTGTCCATCATAGCAAAAATTCACTCCTTGAACTATTTTCCCTCACTGGAGGGTTTCTTCATAGACCGCTTCCCCTGCAACTCTCTGACATTTTCTATTTTTGTCCCTTACATAGAGGCCTCCCCCCAAAAAAAATTCCAATAAAGTCATGAAGTTTGTTCTTCCCAACACAAGACTGCAGTGATTCCCTAAGGAGATGCTTTCCATTTCCTGCACTGTCTGAGATCACTTGGCATTTTTTGTGTGTGGGGAGGTGGGGTTCAAGGCTTACTCATAAATTCACTGCTACCTGCTGCTTGGCTGCCTGGGGCTGAAACCAAGCTGACTGGCTCCAATCTCAAACCTTTCATATGCAGAGGATATAACTTTGCTGTGATTCCTAGAGAAAAAGCTGAGGGAAGATCTGGGGGAACCAAGGAGAGTGTAGGAAACAGAGTGATTATAGTCTTCAAATAGCTAAAAGGCACCCCCAACAATAGTAATTAAAAACTGCTAGACACTGTGGTGAGTGCTTTCTATGTAGTTTCATCTAATCCTCAACTCAAAACCACCATATAAAGTCACATGGTTAGTACATGACAGAATAGGACTTTCATTCATAGTTGTCTGCCTCCAGATCCCAAACTCTTAACCATTATGTTCTACTATCACATCAAAGCAAGATTAGTTATTTTATCTAAACCCAGAGGACAGTACTAGGAATAACCGATCAAAGTTCTACAGAAACAAATTTCAGGAAGACCTAACAGCCCGTACTGCCCAGTGATACCGGGAGGCCCTAGGTTTCCTGAAAACGCGGGAGTTAGGACAGTAATTTGCCAGAAATGTAGACTTGCAATTCTAAGAATCTTTCACATCACTGCTAAATTCTATTACAAATCCATAAACGTCAGGGATTACTTAACAGGTTTTGATATAAGATTACCCAACAAACCAAAAGGCCAGCTGGTGCTGTGGGCCACTGCTCACCTTTATGATATTGGCACAGAACCGCTCCCAAAACGACAGCTCTCCTTCTTTGACCCATGACATAATTCTTGCCCCGGAGAAGCAGCCCAGAACGATTAGACACCAACCAGGTAACTCTGTATAAACAAGAAAGAGAATCAGAAGTCACCACGCCGGCAAACAACTACCTTTGACTTGCAACTACACCAAAAACGGTAGAGAGCAGCCAGCATTAGAACCCAAAGGCATTAGAACCCTAAGCCTCTAGTCTTTCTCTACCCAGACTATAAGACAACAGGACTTTGAGGGCAGAGGCCTTTTCTTGGCTCCACGGGCTTGGTGGAGCTTGCTGCTATTCCCTTCTCCCTCAGTGTTTGCACCGCCTTTTTCTGAACTGAAAACGTCAGCTTCCTGTCACATCGTAGCGCCTACATCCTGATCCTTCCCCCTTCTTCCTTTTCCATCCTCCCTTAGGCAGCTTCCGACTTTCGATGCTCCAGGTCGACAACCCTTTCAGCTACTGCACCCGTTACCTCCTAGCCTAGAGCTTTCCCAATTATTTACTCTCTCACTGTCTCTTCCACTGTCCCTTTTGCCCGTCCCACAGCTGCCTCTCGCCCAGTCAATCCCTCTCCTCCAGTCCACCCCACCCTGAATCCAGCACCTTGACAAGCTCCGCCAGCGTCTTCCAACTGATCCAGTTGACCGACACTTCATCACGACGTGGCGCTGGAAGAACACGTCATCGTTGGGCGCTGGGACACGCCTCTCCCGTCACCTAACGGGTGGAGCCCTGGCCTGCGCTTGCGCGCTTGGAGGAAGAAGGGCTACGAGGCGAGCGTTCTCGGCGGTTCGAACGCCTGGGGGCGGGGCGGGGTGAAGCGAAAGCGAGAGCTGAGCTTTCGGGACGCGGTGAGGCGTGAGACTCGGCTCCCGGCCAAGTGTCGGGGACTTTGCTGGGGAAGGCGGGGTCCAGACCACCTGGGAGAGCCGCTAAGTCTGTAGACCATCCGGTTACAGGACAGGAATCAGGAGCTAGGGGAGCCTCATCTCAGAAATGCCGGGACTTCTCAGCCGCTAGCAGTAGATTAGGACTGCTGAGAAAAAGGGGTAAGGCTGTGTTCTGCTAACTATAAGGCTGCAGAATTGGCTTTAGAGCTGATACAAGTCTTAAAAAGCCTGTGTTTACACCGTTGTGTCTTATTTAGTAGATTTAATCGTTTGCGAAGTTCCTGGCTTTTGTTAGTCTCACAAGACTTAACCTCAGTCCATTTTGTGCTGCCTTAAGGCACACACATTTTAGGGTTTGCATTCGCAGGACCTACCCAAGGAACTCAGAAAAAGGATTAAGGTCAGAAAGAACTCTGCTTAAGAATGGCTGCTAAACTATAAGGCCATCAACTAACCCTAACAGAAAAATCGGGGGTATTCTTTCTGTATCAAACCTTTAACGAAAAGGGCTGCAGGAATTCGAGTTACTAACTCACAAAAGAAATTGGGAGTTTAGTTTTCTCAAAATTAAAGAAGGGGGGAAAACAAAAACTACCATTTTCAAAGAACCTTCCTGTTTCTAACTTTCGATTCCAGTGTCATCAAAGAAACGAGAGAGATACTGCAGTCATAACTCCCAATTCATTACTTTGTCTTTCATTTTATGATGAAAGGATTATTCTTGAGTGAAATGATCAAAGCCCTCTAAAGATGAAATTTCTTAAGCTTTTCCATCCTTCCTGCTTGGCATCTAGGTTGCCTATCTGATTACTTCAGTTTTGCAGGAAAACCATTTACTGAAATCCAGTAGTTTGCTGCTTTTAACATCTTCCATGACCGGCTTTGACTTTTGGTAGAAGTCCCTGGAGTGTTTAGTTGCTCAGTTGTGTCCGACTCTGCAGCCCCATGGACTGTAGCCCGCCAGGAGCCTCAGATTTCCCAGGCAATACTGGAGTTGCCATTTCCTTCTCTAGGGGATCTTGATACAGGGATCAAACCATCATCTCCTGCATTGCAGAATTCTTTACCAGTGAGCCACCAGGGAAACTTCTTACCCTTGTTTTTGTTAATGGTTTCTTGCCCTTTGTGTGACAGTTGGTATGCTTCCAATCAAGTAAACCCTCTTTTTTATGGGGGGAGCTAGATGTTAAGAAATAGAAGGCTAGCGAACTTGTTAACATGTGTTTGTAACTAGTCAGTGTATCTCCTCTGGCCTCACTTTCCCCAGTTTCCAGTATTTCCCTCCCTGGGTTGCTACAGGGGGTTAATTAATTAAGATTTGTAAAGGGCTTTGAGGAGCAAGGGACAAAATATTACTAGGGTCTCATGCCCCAAGCCATGGCCCCATCCTTTCATCCCAGCCAGTGGCACAGGCAACCCCATTCTTATGCATGCCAAGCCCTTAATCCCCTCTTGAATGTGGCAGCTTCCAAGGAAAGGACAAGAGGCCTTAACTAGAAACAAAAATCCACTGTAATGAGGTGCTAAAAAGACTGAACTTTCAAGATTCACTCCTAAGAAAATGGCTGAACCGAAAATTTAATGGTTCTTCTCATGACTTCTGAGTCCCAATCCAAGAAGGTGGAAATAACGGTAGGAGGAAGGCGCCTTAAATATCAACCAAGATGACAGTTTCAGTACCAATAAGTTTTTATTTATTGTATATTCCCAAGGAAAAGAAAGGGAAGGGAAAAGGGTCAGCGTGTGTGTTACAAAATGATAGCAAATGGGAAAGGAAGTACCTGGCACAGCAAAATCAGCCATCAAATAAACACTGCCCAGATGGGGTCGCCAAAGCCCAAGGGGCTCTGTCTCCTGCCGTTCAGGAATGAGGAAAAGAACAGATGGGTACATGCTTTTCTACCCTCCCTCCCTCCCCATAAATTCAAGATTTCATACAAAGCTTTGGTTTCTAGCAGTAAACATGGAGTTACATTCGTCCGTCTGCTATTAAACAATCTTGTGGCTACTTTGACATAAGTTTCGTGCACCTGCATAAAAGTTCCTGAGTGACTTGGATATACATTCATCCTTCCTTTCGTGGTCTTCCAGCCCCACCTTCTACATGGAAGGCCCCCTTTGTTGCTCCTCTCTACCCTTGGATTAGAAATTAAAGTTGGTCTTGATCCATCCAAATACAGCAGTCCGTGTAGCATGAATCACATCAAGGAATGGACGTGCCTCGAGATTGGGAACAAGGGATGGAGAGATCTTAGCTTCTTCAGGATTTTTGCACAAATCACTTAATCACAGATACCCCACAAATTAAACGTATAGGTATATGGTCTATTTTGGGGGGCACAAATGTGGAAGAGGAGGGGGTAGGAATCTAGTTTTTAGGACAGATCTTGTTTGAAATAGGAAATAGAGGAAGGGGAACACAAAAGAAAGTGTAGTTCAAGACCCCCCCCCAACTTCAAGAAGAGGGGCCCCCAAGCTTATGTTTCAGATCTTTTTGCCTGGTGCAGAACATTTTGTCAAAGATGCTTTGGCTATTTTTCTCAATATAAAAAGAAGTTTGTAAACAATAAAACCCCAAAAGAACATGGAGACCAACACATTATATTTACACAAACTAGGCCACCTAGCAATCACCAAATCAGCTACTTGTGAAGTCCTACAAAGCCCAGACAAATATAATAACTAGAGGGGGGCAGCAGTTGGGAGAGACAAGGATCAGACACACATCACCCAATGCGTTCTATTGCATTTGCCCCGAGACAACACAGTGAGGTAGGTCTGCAGTGATCTCACAGCTTGTAAACGCACCCCCCCCGCCCCGACCCGCCACCGCCCTTTCTCCTTTAGCTGCCATGATACTAATCACTGCTGCAGCAGGGTAGGACCCTGGCTCTGGGAACCACAAAGAAGCCATTGCTGATGGTCTCTCCAGAAGCCAAGGAGGAAAAGCCCAGAATCGTTAAAGATCTTGTACTTGCTTCACATATCCATCCTTGGGCAGCTCAAGATGGGTACAGAGGCATTGTTCTTAAAAACCTCTGCTTACCAACTTCCATGTTTTTTATAAAACACACACCCCCTGTTGTGCATGGTCAGCCTAGCCCAGTCAGGTGAAGGATGGATCTGGTATATAAAGCGAGTCCTGGGATTATAGATCTGGAACAGGAATCCTTTATCACACATACAGATGACCTTTACCTAAATCTTGGCTTCCCCTCTCTGCACTTCTTACCTGGCCCAGCCTCTCCTAACCTCTCTGCACCACGTTTTCCTGTTCAGACCAATTTCCAATCTTTCAGTAGGAAGGAGACCAAGTCATGGGACAACCCAGTTACAACCTAGTCTCTCATGAAACGCTGAAGATGGAGGGGTTTCAAGAGGACACTATGGCAGAAGAGCCAGCTCTAATTGGCAAAAATGAGGTAGTTCAATAGGCTATACACTCCAAATAGTTGTTTTCTCTGATGATACAGCAACAAAAAGCATTCCTGCTGTGCAGACCTGGAGCTGCTGCTGACTTATCCCTGAGATTGCTCACGTACCTGAGAACACAGTGCAGGAATGAGGGCCTTAGATTAAAATACACAAAAATACAAAACCAGAATATTTATATTACGAAAAAAAAAAAAGTTAAAATGCACAAGATACGTCATTCGCACACAGCTAGTGCAGTTGGCATCCTGGAGAAAGTGGGACCCAAGGTACAGTCACCCAAGGCAGCAAATAAATAAAATTGAGTTGGCCCAGAATGGGGTGAGAGTAAGCTTAGAAGCAGCAAATCTGCAGCTCTTCCCTCGATCACCCCTTTAACTGTCATCATAATCCATTACTTGGGACAGTTCTTAGCATTCTGTCCCAAGAGGGGGTTATGAGGAGAGAAGACAAAAACCTTGCTACCCCCCCCGAGATGTTTCCTCCCATGGAATGTGGTGGCTTGTTGGTTGGGTCCATCAATCATTGAGTGATCCATCAATCCAATCAATGTTCTTAATCTTTACATTCTGATATGGGAAATACTATTCCATATTCTTCTTTAAAACAACTTCCCTACCCAGGCCACTTTCAAAAGCTGGAGATTCTGGGGGTGGAGACTCATATAAAGCATGCAGGGAGGGTTAACCCCCAAAGCCCTCATATGCATTTGGAAACAGCTAATTGGAGTTTCTTTGCCTCACCCCTTCTTCCCACCAAGAGGGAAGAGGGGATGATGCTGTGGACTCCAGCCTCAGATACATGGCAGTGCCAGCTGCCCCCTACCCACCCTGTCCCCACTTTCTCCACTCTGCCGATTAATGCCTGCTCCTCAAAGCTTTCTGATCACAAAAGGATAGCCCCCACCCACTGTGGCTCAATTCTGAGCCTCTGGGAGCATGGCAGAGCTATGGATCTCTTCTTCCTCCTCCCGAAAGTAGGCTGGCTTTCCCTGGGAGCTGGGAGCTTGCTGGGCTTTCAGTGGGCACGAGGCTACCATATGGTTGATGCTCTGGCAGAAATGGCACTTCTTGGGCTGGGGTGGCAGTTTGCATTCCTTGGCGTGATGGTCTAGACCTCCACAGTTGTAGCACCTAGCATCAAGCAAGATAGTAAAGTTGAGAGGAAGGCGTGAGAAGAGACCACAATGTTTCCTCTGAGTGAGGACCCCTGGGCTCTGGTTTTAGTTGTTACTTTGGACCCACTTCCCTTGCTGGAGACCAATTTCAGCACTTAGAAAAGGGGTATATGACTAGATATCTCTGAGTCATTTCCAGGCCTGTAATATCTAGATGGCAGCTTGAGATTCATGACAAATTGAAAATACCAAGAACGGAAATCCTGGACCCCAACTGAGAACTACCATACCCTTAAAAACAGTACCTCTCATTCATTAAAATAGAGAAGAAATTAAAGGGCCAGAATCTGTTTACACACAGAAAAGGAAAGAAACCAGTCATTTGGAGATGAGGTGAAGAAGCAACAGCTACAGATGTACTGTCTTGGCCTCACCACATACACTTTCACATCCATGGTCTCCTTTAGTTCTAAAATAGCATGTGAGGTTAGTATCACAATCCCCATTTAGCAATCAAAGCTAGAGCTCCCAGAAACTAATTACTTATCAAGTAGAAAAGTAGGTCATAAAGTACCTTCCATACATACCACCCTCTCTTTGCCTCCCACATCCAGATGTTGCCAGGGGCCACAGGCTTCACTTTATCTTTGGCATCTGGTCCAACCAAGAAAGGGAAAGCAAGAATGGAAGAGTGCTCATCATCCCTACCAACCCACAGAAGCTGCCTTCCAGTCCATACCTGTCTCCCTTTGATCTGCGTTTCTGCATATTCTTCCCTTTGGGCCGCCTTTCACTCCCAATACAGAACACCCCACCAGGGCCGGTGACTCGAATAGATTCCAGGCCCTTGGCAGACTTCTTAAAGGTGAATTCCACGGCCTCACCCTCCTTCAGACTCCGGAAGCCCTCCATGTGCAGCTTACTCTGGGGGAGAGAAGCATGGTAGATTTTAATGTTAGTCTTCATCATTACACCCAAAACCTGCATACACATGTTCCTCTAAGGATGGAAGAGTAAGGGTGTAACATTTCCATTTTATTGGTAAAGACACTGTGACTGGAGGAGTCACCATTAAAAATAAAAAATCTACGTTACATCAGGAACAATCACTGTGTAAACAGATGCCATAGCATTTTTGGCAGCTATTTTCATTGAAAGTTCTCAGTAAAATAGAACAGCAGAAAAAAATTGTTAATCATAGCATTTATAAGGAATCAACCAATGTAAAATTGTAAAATATAACATAACAGGCCTATACACTTAAAAGATGTCAGTCATGAAAGAAAAACCCCTACGAAGTAAAGAAACAGCGCCACACATACTTCTGACTGGCTCTTAGAACAGGAGAAAATATTAGGAGAACTGACAAAATTTGTGCATGGAATGTAGGCAAACATGTTAAGTTCCCTAATTTTGATCATTGTACCGAAGTTACCTAAGACAATAGCCATATTCTAGAAAAAAATGCTGAAATATTGTAAAGATAAAGATGCTTGAAATCTGTATAAGGGATTAAAAAAAAAACAATAAAGCAAATAGTACAAAATGTTAACAATTGATGTATCTGGGTAAAGGTTATATGGGAGTTCTTCATACTATTCTTGCAACCTTTTCCCAAATTTGAAATTATATCAAAACAATGTTACTGAAAGTTGAAGGGGAAAGACAGTATGATCCAAGCAGACAGATCAGTGGATTAGAAGAGAAAAATCTACTGGAAGATCCAAAAATAAGTGCAGAAATCAGCAGGTAAGGAAAATATTTCCATAAATAGTACTATTGAGAAACCAGTTATTCACTAGGAAATGAAGCCAGAAATTTATACTTTACATCATATGTATGCAAAATATTTTGGAAGAATTAACAATCTAAATGTTAAGAGGAAAAAACTGGAACAGTTTTTTTTTTAATTACGACAGATAACTAAACTGATAAAACTATAAAAATTACTGTAAATCAATATGTAAAAAGACTCACAGAACAGAATAATTTGCAGGAGGACCTAGCATGACACATATATTCAATATCTCACTGGCTCAAAGAAACCCCAAAAAACAAAACAAAAATACCATAAAGCCATTCAAAAGAATGTAAAGTCTTTGCTTTGTTCACTGCTGCATTTTGACACCTAAATAATGCCTAGAACATTTTGGATGAATTAATGAACAAGTAGGCTTTAATTGTATAACTTGGGAAGATAATCCCAAGTTATTTAAAGAAAGAAATATTTAAAGAAAGAAAAAGACTTCAAATACTGTGTAGAATGATCTCACTAAAACACTGCTTGTTTGAACCAAAATTTAAAAGAAAAAAAGGAGTTAGTTGAGTGGCAACACCAGGGTCAGAAGAACCTAGAGTTCTGGATTGGATAGCCCATTTCACCTTGCCATTTTCTGCATCAATAACACATTAGTGGAATGATAGCCTCTCCTAGACCCTGCACAGAACAGACTTCATTATAGATACCTTCCAAAATATCCAAAGAACATGTCAGATATGTCAACAAGGTGTAGTCCTTGTTGAAAATGCGGTTCAGAAGCAAAAGGGATCACCATGTACCTAGTCCTGGCTTGAGGCCTTTTATGCTGTTGCTGGTGGGGGTGGGGCAAGGTGGCTATTTCAAATTGGGACTTAGATGAAACATGCTCTTTTGCCAGATGGGATCCCCAATTCCTTAGTCACTTACATTTTTCTTTTAATTTAGATGATATTGCTTAAGACAAAACTTCTTCCACTGAGGTAATTAAAAGCATAGGCTCAGGTGTCAGATACATCCTGGTTCCTGAAATGCTGATTCCACCAATTTCTGGCATTGTGTTTGATCTTGGTTGGTTACCCACCTCTGGGCCTCAGATCTTTCAGACAACGGGATAACAGTAGCTATTTACCTAAAGTTTTAATGAAGATTAGGCAGGCAGGACATATGCTCAATAAATATCAATGAATGAAATATCCCAAAGGTTTGGGATCCTCTCCCTTCTTATTCGCATAGAACAGACAGGATTGTGATGACTCACTCCCTCCCCCCAATCTGAATGTGGAGCATTAAAGCAGAACATTAAAACATTTCAGAAAGGTGAAAATTCTTTCCTCCTCCCAGTTGCATAACCACCGCCCTGAATTTGATGTTAAATCTGACGTGTCTCTTATTGAGCTGGGACAAGCCAGTGAGTCAGGAGATGCTGGAGGATCCAGACCAAGAGCATTCTTGACCCAGGTAAACTCAGCTTCTCCCATTTGCCTAGTGGGCTCTTAGGGTGGAACACTCCCAGTTCTCTGTGATTCAGCAGATAGATAAGTGATTAAGAGCAAAGGTTTAGAGTCCTGCAGCCTATCCCCGCTTTCTGTGTTAGCCTACAAAATGGAGTAAGTACTAATTTTATGGTGGTGCTGTGAGGTTTTAAGCATGAAAAGTAGTTAACACATTGACTGCCACATATAAATCCCAACTTTTCAGACTGGATGAGGGTGGGGTAACAGTGAGAAAGAAGTGTCAAAGGACCCAGCATTTTAACCCTAGTTTTTATCGCTAACTAGCAGCGGAAACTCAGAAAAATATCCCCTTTCTGTGCTCCAGTTTATTGAGCACCACGGTCTTCTGCATCTACACCTTCTAGGCTTAATGTGAGAAACAGAGGATAATATAAATGGGGACATTTGAAATTGACTAGTCCTCTTAGTTCACCTCTATCACTGGAGGATTTGAGGTCAGCTTAAGACCATCATTTCCTTTGAAAAGATAAAGGGGGGAAAAAAATCCCTGTGGGCACCTCACCATAATCAGCCAAGATTTAGACTGGTGGTCTCCAGGGGTAGCTCCTTGGCCCCCTCCACCCCACCTCTTTCTAAAACACATAGTTTGAATTCCTCTCTTATCAGATAGGTAATCAGCGTGCAGCCCCACTGAGCCTGCCTCACAGGGTCTGCATCAGAAAGGAGCCTGAAATTCTTGCTACCACCCCCACCCCACCAACCACACACAAAGCAGGGCCTGGGCCCCTCCCCTCTCCATCCCCTCCAAAAAAGAAAAGACCTGGGGGGGGAGGGGCGAGGCTTGAGCTCCCCCAATAGAGCCCTGCTCCGGGAAACAAAGAGTTGACACTGGTTGGTTCTGGTGGTCAGATTCCTGGAGTTCCAGAGGATGCAGATTCCCCCTTGACTCCCCCCCCTCATCACACATTTACCACATTCACCAGTTCTTTCCTTCCTCTCCATGTAAGGGGTTATGGTCACGGTGAGAGGATTGGACAGAGACACCTTTCTTCCCTAGTCAAGCTTGCTGGCCAGCCAAAGCCACCACCAGCAGCCATCTTTCCTTCTGACTTACCCTCCCACCCTTCCAGGGCCTCCAGTCAAACCTTTTTTTTTTTTTTTAACTGAGGGGCCCAATTAGGGTTCTTTATTCAGATAAATTATATTATAGGTGGGAGGGCTGCCACCATCCCATCTTCCTTTCCCCTGCCTGTTCAACTAAACCCTCAGTTCTAGGTGCTTAGCAGTGCACAAACATTTGCAGACAAAAAGAAAAACTAAGTTCTCTACTATCCAAAATGCCTAATATGTACTGATGCTTACTATAGGCTAAGCAGTTTTAAGCATGTCACATGATGTAACACATGTGACCTTCACACCAAGCTTTTTATCATGCCCCCTGCTGAATTCATGGAGGCAGAGGGGTTAAGCACCCTGCCCAAACTTATAGTGTGACAGCCATGAGCTGACTTTGTATCCTGTGCTCTGCAATATAATGCAAGGTGCATTGACATTTTAAAACTTTCTAAGAGTCACACTGAAAAAGTAAAAAGCAATTTAATTTTAATGAGTTAGTCCTAAGGTGTCCTCACAGTTCAACCCAAGCCTCACTCCTAAAGGTAGGGTTTGGTAGGAGCTAAGAAATCAGTGGGTTCTATCAGAAGCAGTTTGTCACGGAGAATGGGGAAAGAGATCCACCCAGAACCAAGGGCTGCCAGCATACACCCTTTACACATCCCTTTGGCTCTGACACAGCCAGGACCACCAGTTCCTGCCTGGAGTTCTCCACCAGATGGTGCTGCTGTCAGCCTGTCTGCGCCCAGGTAGCCGGAGGGAGTCTGGAGCAGAAGAGAGGATGGAGCCACAGTGTTCTCAACTCTGCACCTAAGAGTTCACCTAGATTGATCTTCCCAGCTCCTTAGGACAGGCATCTTCTCTGTGGTCCTCAGGAAGATGGAGTCACAAGGGGACTGAACTCCACCCAGGGTAGGTCCGATAAAGATGGGGCTGTTCCCTCCCCACCACCCCCACTCAAGAAGTGAGGAAAAGTTCCTGGAGTTTTTAGCCAGAAGCCCAGTTGTTGTTCTGCTCTGTTGACAAAAGCCATCTTACTCTCTTTACCAGTCTGAATTAAAGAACTCCAAGTTGAGTCTGTACTAATTGCATACTATTCTGGAAAGTTTTCCCCACCTTTTCCTTCACCTCCTTCGACCTTCCAGATTTAACACTGATAGTAGTTGCTATTCTTGCCTGCAGGAAGAAGGGAGAGGTGATGTGCCTCAGGCTGTTGCTTAAAAAAAAAAAGAAACCCACCAAGGAATTCCCATAGGCTGAGTTCGATACTTTTGATAATTGGATTAGGAATGTTCCAGCAACAACCTTGCCCTGGAGAAAAATCACTGAAAACCACGTACAAGGCAAGCAGTGCCACTAACCACAAGCTTTGCTCTGGATGGTGGCACAGCCTTTACTTGGAACACTGCCTAGAAAGTATGTCTCTTCACAAACAGGACTCAAGATCTCATAATGCTCAAATTAACTCACATGCTTTTCTGCTAACTTCCTGAAAAAATCCACTCATTTAAAAAATTCTTTCTGGAGGAGTGGGAGGAAAACAAAACACTTTCCTTTCCCGATGGTCCAGTGCTTAAGACTCCTCACTTCTACTGTAAGGAATTTGGATTCGATCCCTGGTCAGGGAACTAAGTCATGCTTCCTGGCCTAATTAATTAATTGAAAATAAAATAATAACCTTTTTAAAATTCCCTATTAAGATGGAAAAGAAATAACTAATGAATAACTAACTTCAACCCATGGCTTCCATATCCTCTTCTGGAGCTGTGGTCAGCTGGAGTGGATCAGCTGTGATCCACTGCCACTCCACAAATTTTCATGGTGCTTCTACGGAGTACCAAGCCCTCTTCAGGCCCTGGTCCGGATAGACAGCAACTATCAGTTCACATTCCTTCCCTATCTCCTATCCTGCTGACAAGGACCCCCAACTGTGAGTGTACTCTTGATTTCTCAGGGGCCCCTTCATTCCTCATACTCATATCTTCAGCCCACCAAGTGCATATTAGAAAATTAACCAGACTACTAGTCCCTCTCTTCAAAGAGTTCAGGTTAGAGGAAGAGTTAAGACATCAGTACCTGAACATAAGGAGGGTAATCAGAGGCACTAGTAAGGTTATAAACCGGGTAGGAAAGATCCCTTACATTCTCCCTGCCCCCAAACCTGAGTCTTAATCTAGACCGGACTGAAGTTGCTCTCACCACCCCCACTCATCCTTTTCAGAGAAAGCAGGCCACGTGGCATCAGAAGTTTCTTGGTACTGGAAATTTCTTCTCTTAACCCAAGCTTGGTGCCTCAGTCTCTTGGAGGCTCTTTTGCCTCCAAGCATTCTAGCCAGCATTTTAGCCAGAAAGCTGTTTTAAACAGATTTGAGTTCCAAAGAGCTGTGGGAGAAAAAAGGGGACCTTTTCCTGATTTTCAAATTTTGCACATCTGGGGGGGGGTTGGGAGTTGAGCCACAGGAAACAGGAGGTTTCTGTTAAAATGGCCAAAACCTTTTAAATGGCCATGGAGAGTTGAGAATTCTTAGTCCTCAGGCAACCCCTAGTTAGCTCTTTCTTACTCCACCTTTTGATGTATTAACTGTTTCTCAACTGGGGGTGAGTTTGTCTCCCAGCGGGGGCATTTGGCAATGTCTGGAGATTGTTTTGGTTGTCACAACTGAGGGATGCCCAGAATGAGAAGTTATCTTGCTTGAAATATGTCAGTGGTGCAGAGATTGAGAAACCGGGATTTAAGGGCTAGCTAGCTGCCATCATGATCATTCTTAAATTCCCCCAAATTCAGGGACAGCAAGTGAGTTCTAGCCTAAAACCTGTGTTTGAGTACCAGGGTTGGTACAGAAGTCTTTTCACTTTATGGGTTTTATTTACTCATCTTTTTTTAAGGCTAACGGTAGGCTTTCTTTCCCACATATCCACCCCTATTGGGCACTGAGGGTTGGACAGGGAGCATAGGAACAGTGACCAGTGTGTTGGGAACCAAAAAGGCCCAACCTTAGAAATGTCTAATTGTGTCCATCCCCACCCCCACCCCCCGCCACCGTTTCCTTAGGAAAGGGGCTCCCTGATCTCCTCCCCTAGCAGATGTTATCTTAGGACAGTTACCCTGTCCACCACCCACACCTACAGTTCCAAGGTACCCACCACAAGCAGCTAAAGGGGAAGTTTAACTGTTAAAGGGAAATGTCTTACTTTCTTTCCATTTTGGGAACACTCTCCTGCCCTGGGAAAATTTCTAAGGATTGATCTGCATCCACATTAGATCTACATTAGATCCCCAGGGAGATATTTCAGATTTCTCAAGTGCAGGACTGGAATCACTAGTTTAAGTGTTACAGTAGGGTTTGAGGATCAACCTAAGCCCCAGCAGTGTGAAGACAGAGCTTCCAGGTATAAAGCTCAGGGAATTTCCACCAGTGTCCTCTGTGACTGTTAGTAGGGGGTATAAGGGAGATAAAGTCTTCATTCCTTATCCCAGCTCAACTCCTGATAACTTATTTGACTGTGGAATGTCCCTGGACATTCCAAGACCCCAAGTCCAGGTTATCTCCCAGCAAACCCATCTGAAACAGCATGGTGTAGGCTCCACTCCCCAAATCTGAAGGCTAGTCCCCATTTTTTTTTATTCCATCCCGTATTTCCAACTGCTTTTGATCCTAAGGGTTAAGTGGGCTGAGGCACAGATCCATTTGCTCAGGAAAACCTTCTTTGGGAGTTGGATATCACCAAAGAACCTCAGAGGGACTACCTTCCCCTCAGTCTTTCCCTAAGTGGCAACCTTTCGAAGGGAGGCAAGAAAATGTTGGGTCTGACTCTTTCATTCCTAGCTTTCCAAAGTTGGTGAAGGTGTCCAGTTGTCTCCAGGCTGGGAGAGATTTTAATCTTTTTGTGATCAGATAAATGGGGAGCTGGCCACCCCGCTGAGGAGGGCCATTCAAAGCTGGTTCCTGTAATAAAGTGATTTAATAGATCTAAAGAGGCCAATTCCCTTCTTTCTCCCACAATTACTTCCTGTGGGTTATCATTCACATATGTAAATGAGACAGGGAGGGGGGCTAGCCACCAGCCAGAATTAGTTGTTCGAAGGGAAGAGGGTAAAGCTGGGGGTGGAGGAAGCAGGGGAAGCCAGGGGGCAGCCAAGCATTCTGCAGCCGACCCTTCTGGCAGATATTCTAGGAGCCCAGTGACCCCAGCGTTAACTAGTGGATCCCCATCTCCCTGCGTCCTCTCTCTCCCTTGCTTCCCCCCTTCCGCATCCTCACTGAGGGCCATGTGGGGACTTCCCCGCTGTTTCCCTCCAACCAGTCTACCCAGCATCTCCCCTCTCCACCCCTCCCCCTCCAGAATACCATCCCTCAGGCTCCAACCCTTAATCCCCACATCCTCCTTTCCCCTCCCCCACTGCTCCTAAAGCCAACCTCCCCGAAGTAACCCCTCCATGCCCGGCCTGGGTGTCAACCTCTGGGGTCTGGGATTAGCAATTTCTTCTCAGGTCCAGCCCCAAACCTCCAAAGGTGGAGGGGAACACAAGCAACAATTTCCTTCACATGGTGGTTACGTGAGGCTTCGGAGATACTCAGGAAGGGGTGGCCAGGGAGGAAGGTAGACGAAGTCTCTGGTTCCTTGTTTGAGGCCGGGAATGTTAGGACGGCAATCAATGGCTGTCTGGGGCCATAAATGCCAAGCTGAGGAGAACAGGTCTTGAGGCTAGCCTCTCTCCACCCCCTGCCCTGCGACACTGAATTTCACCCCCCACCCCCCCCCGCCCCTGTGGTGCCTCGCTTTAGCTGAGAACTTGGGGTTGCGACCTAACTCCCTCCCAGGCTGGCCCAGGAGTCGAAGGCCTGGCTCTTCACATTTTCTTTCCTAATAGGAAATAGACAGTAAGAGCCCCCCTAGTGATCCATGTGCCTCAGACTGCTCTCGAGGAACTTCCATGCCCCCCAAATAGATCCTTCAAGGATCTGCCAAACCCATCCAGAACCCCAGGGCTTGAGTTTTGGGTGACCACCTGGGTGAGGGGACCCGGCAGACTTCTCAGCTTTCCGCCGTTGGGTCCTGAAGCCGTTTCCCTGCCTTCCTGAAGGCCGGGAGCTCGATTCACAAGATACTGAAACGCGCGGGCGCTCAGGGTTCTGCTCTGACCGGGCATGTGCTTCCCTGGCCGGCCTGCTCGCCCTCCCCCCACTGGCAAGCACAATACAACCTTAGTTCTGCCACATGCATCACCTCCCTGCCCCCTGCCCCTGCCCAAGGGTAAAGAGGTAACAGACACGTGGTAAACCAGAGGGGTTCCCGGAAGGGGGTGGGGGTGTTAATCATCAGCTCTTCCCCCACTCTCGTCCCGTTGAGTTAACAGGGACTCAGACTGGGTGCCACTGCAAAGACGGGAACGCACAATAAGGGCCCTGGATCTCCCCTCAATCCAACAGCCGAGTCCGTCCGCCCACCCTCGGATACGCGCGCCAACATCCCGTTCCTGCGGCGAAGTTACCAGAATCGCTCTCACCTGGTGCACAAAGACATCCACCGGGGGGTCGAGCGCGACCCCTGCGCGGGCGGTCATGGACAGGAAGCCGAACCCCATGCGCACGTTGAACCACTTACAGATGCCGGCACCGTGCAGCAGCTGCGGCTCCTCCGCCGCGCGGGCCGCGTCCTCCGGCGCCTCCTCCGGCGCCTTGGCGCAGCCACCTGGAGATTGGGAAGGCGCTCAGCTGGGGGCCACGGAATTGGAGGACCCCCATCAGAGAGCCGGCAAGGAGACCCGAGGGTCCCAGCCCGCAGGTGGACACCCAGGAGGCTGCAGCTACCGAGCAGCCGGCGAGAAAATACCTGTCCCGGCCGCCTCCCGCGCTCCCCCAGCTTAAACTGAGGCCAGCGGTGCCCCGAAAGTTTTGCTTTTCTTCCCATAACTCGTTGCCCGGGGACATGCGGCCAAACAGGCCCCTCCTCTTCTCTCCCCCCGCCCCCGGACCTTCAGCTTGCTCGCCACTGGGACACCAGGGTTCCTGGCTCCAGAGATGGCCCCCAGAAGCAGGAGGCCGCACAGACTTGGGGTCCTTGGGCTAGCCTGGGGGACACTTCCCCACCTATCTTTCATGTGGCTTCGGGGCGCCCCTGCCGCCTAAGGTGTCCCTAGTAAGTCCCGAGGTCGAACCTGCGAACTGCTGGTTTGACACAGAGCCCATGGTAGTCGGCTGAGCCCGCGGCCCCGGGCCCCTGCTTGGGCGGCTGCTGGCCCCAGAGAAGTCCGGAGGCAAAGGGGTGGCTCGGGGAAGAGGCAGCTACATCTTCCCCAGCACAATAGCGGTGGGAGGGCCCACGGCTTTTCAAAGGCTCCCAAATTCTAAAAGACAATGACCCAACCCCCCGCGGGCAGCCCCCCTCCCCTCCCTTCCCTTCCCCTCCCCTCCCTGGCCTTTCCCCTCCCTTTCCCTCCAGCTCCAGCTCTGGCCCTCCCCCACCACGGAGGTCTCTGACACCTCTGGGGTGTCCCTTCTCAGAACCTAGAGGTTTGACGCCTCCTCCCCACACGCACATCTGGAGATTGGGGCCGTCAACCGTACAAGTCTTGAGTACCCGTGAATTTGGGATCCTGCACTTTAAGGAGTCGGCGGGGGTCCCCGAAGCAACATACAGGTGGGGGGCATGTGGCGGGGGGGGGGCAGTTTTAAAGCCACGTGACTGCTCACACACACACACACACACACACACACACACACTTATACACCAACCCCACCCCCCTTTGCAGATAATTATACATTCCAGAGAGTTGGGGGGGGAGGGAGGTGTGAGCCTGGCAGCGCTGGCCAATCAGAGACACAAACCACCTGTCAAGAGAGAAATGGATGAGCCCTCCCCCTCCCCCCGCCCTGGAGCGCCCCTCCCCCTCCCTTCCCCTTCAGGCCTCGGAGCTGACCCGGCAGCTCGGCGCTGACCCGCTCTCACCCCCCACCCCCGTGTGCTTAGAGAGACCTGGAGTTGAGGACACTGGGAAGCCTGGGATGGGGAAGCAGGGGGGAGGTGGGAGACCCAGCGGGGCCGATCTCCACTCCTGACCTAGGCGCGGCCTCTCAAAGTCTGTCTCTGACTAACTGAATGTCTCTGAGTTTCCCACCGAGTTTCTCTCGATCTCTCAAAGCGCTCCCAATTAATTCCGTGTAAAGAATTCTTCCTCGTTTCCTTCCGAATCTGTCTAACACTGACCCACGTGGAGTTTGCTGAGAGAACAGAAGAAGGAACCCAAAGAGGCTTGAAGTGTGTTCCTCTCTCCACCAGCCGACCTCATCCTGCCCCCATGGCCATCCCATCTTCATCCGTGGTTGGGACCCCGACACTTTTAGTTTCTCTGGCGCTCCACGCTTCAGAGTCCTGTCCTAAAGTGCGCTCCCTTCCCCACAGTGAGGTTGGTGGGGGCATTGGAGTAGGGGCTCTCCTCATTTGAGGAGTTAGCCTCCCCTGGTAGGAGATAAAGAGGCTTGGCCAGGGGGGTGGCTAGTGCCCTGGTCGGAGATGGACAATGGCCCGGGGCTCAGTGCACGGCCCTGGCCCTGCCCCTTCACTTCCGGTGCTCAGTTCAAACTGGACAATGCCAGCTCCGGCCAGTTCCCCTCCCCCACTGCTACAACCCACTTAAAGGGACAGAGCCTGCTTTCGGGGGCATCCGCTCACTGGCAATTCAGTCGTCTCCACCAAGTGTGCAGAAACCTCTCGTGCTCCTGCGCCCGCCCGTGTGTGTGTGTGTGTGTGTGCGCGCTCGCGGGCGCGTGTGAAATCGAGAAATAGAGAACAGGGATGAGTGGGGGTAGGAAAGGGGAAGAGGAGGAGAGCAAGGGGCTGTTGAGAGATTATTTCTCTCTCCTATCAAGAGTGATCTCCGAGGCACTAAAACTTCAGTGTAAGAAATGGGGGATAGGAAGTTGGGATAAAATGAACAACTGTGGCCCTCAGCCTAAAAAATACAAATTATTAACAAATATCACTAACAATGCTACAGTCCCTACTGAAGACTCTAATTTAGATCTTCCCAGAGTCGTGCGAGTACATCAGCCAAAACTATTTTTTATTTATATAATCCTCCCCACCTAAGCATTATCTCCTCCCCTTACTAGAGCCCTTAAAATATACCCACTCTCTGTATCTCTCTTCCTAAGATTCAGGAGCAGGTGACTACGGTCTGGCTGAAGAAAAGAGGGGATAAGAGAATTTAGCACTCTGTTTTCCGTTGGTCTGCTATCAAGTCAGACGTTCCAGGAAGGCGCTACTAGCTTCACTGTCCAGGGTCCTGAGGGCGGCGGGAGCTCTGTCCACGGTGCTGAATAAAGACCCGCTCTCCTGGTTCCCAGCTCCCAGTTTTGAGAATGCCTTCTTGAATTCTCACCTCCGCGCTCTTCCCAGAAAACCTGGTTCTTCTCAAACAGCCCCCACCCGCTCAGAGAGCCCGACACATTGGAGACAAATGAACAGACTTTCTTGCACTCTAAAGAGAGAGCATTTCCAGCCATACATGATTCTGTGAGAGTAGTGTAAGTATCTCAAACTCCTCTTCAGAAAAATGGTGCATGTAGCCACAGAGAGTGAAGAAAGAGGAGATAATATTTTTTAATTCACATAAAATAAGACTAGAGAGACTAATCTTTCTTTTTCATTATTATTTCTCTAATTAGTAGCACTTTTCATAGGAACACAGGCGTTGGAATCAGATAATCTATGTTCAAACATCTATTTGTAGCTCTGAAAACTGTATGCTTTCTATGCCTCAGTTTCCTCCTCTGCATAATGGAGATAATGAAGATTTAACTCTCAGAGTTATCATGAGGATAAAGGTAGATTATGTAAGTAAAGCTTTTAAAAATGTCTGACATATAGTTAGCCCTTAACAATGTAAATTATTACTATTATTATCATAACTATTATGCACATTTGTCTCTTTGTCCTAGAACCTGCTGGGTCATTTGATCCCTGAGAATTGGGGCCATTTGTGTGTTATTTTTTTCTGCTCCTTCTCTCACACACTTACCAGTACTTAGTACAGTGGCTGACCCACAGAAGACATCCAGTTTCCTGAGGGACTAACCTGGTGGTCCAGTGGTTAAGATTCAGCCTTCTAATGCAGGGGTTGTGGGTTCGATCCCTGGTCAGGGAACTGAGATCTCAATGCTGCACGGTGTGGCCAAAAATTAAAAATAAACAAATCTTTAAAAAGAAGAGTTTCCTAAATAAGTTTTTAAATTTATTTTTATTGAAGTATGGTTGAATCACAACACGTGTTAATTATTGTTGCACAGCAAAGTGACTTATACATATATGTTATACATATATGTGCATTCTTTTTCATATTCTTTTCATTATGGTTTGTCACAGGATATTGAATATAGTTCCCTGTTCTAAACAGTAAGACTTTGTTGTTTATCCATTCTACATATACCAATCTGAATATTTTTTTAATTTATTTATTTTTAAATTGAAGGATAACTGGTTTACAGAAATTTTTTGTTTTCTGCCAAATATCAACATGAATCAGCCACAGTCCCCTCCCTCTTGATGAATAGGCCTTGACTGAAATGATGGATGTTATTATACTAGTCATAATACTTATTCTTCTAGGCTGCCTCTTTCAAGTCTAAGAATTCAAGCCCAGGAAGAATCAGGATCTCATGAAGTTGCATATGTGGAGGTAGAGGATGCTTTAGGAAGGGACACATGGCTCCCAACATAATTGACTCCTCATCCCCCTTGGGTTGTTTCCATGTGGGAGAGGAAGGCTCCTGACTTAACATTCTTCCTTTCTTGGGTCCTCATCTCAGTGAAAACTTATTAGGTAGCTACTATGATCCAGTCATTGTGCTAGCTCATACATTTGGTGGAGGAATTAGATACGTAATATGCACTAAGTAGGTTAATGACCAAAAATGTACCCCCACAAAGTAAAGAACAAACATTTCCTACTATCCAAGAAGTTATAGTGTAGTTAGGGAGGCAAGACATGATATAGCTAAGTACTGCAAATTTCTTGTGTATTGGTTTCTGAGGATAATATTATCTGATAAGAGGGGGAAAGTGGAGCTCTTTAGACAAGGCCAAAGTGTGTAGTATCAACACAAAGAGCATGCGTGCATGCTTAGTCATTTCAGTCATGTCCAACTCTTTGCAACCCTATGGACCATGACCTGCCAGGATCCTCTGTCCATGGGATTCTCCAGGCAAGAATACTGGAGCGGGTTGCCATTTCTTTCTCTAAACTCCTTTTGTAACTCTTCCTGAAAGCTCTGGTAGGAACACAGCTGAATCAGGGCTGTAGATAAAAAGGTATTACAAGAAAACCCAGAGTCCAAAGAGGTTCTCAGCAGTCAGTCTATGCTGTGCTGGAGAAAACAGAAACAGAAGATCCCACCTGCTTAACAGTTTACTGTCAGCCCAGGGGGGTGGGGGTTCACCCACCTTCATCTACAACTCAGCATCAGCTCCCAAAGACAAAGAGCATCTCCCCTTTAAAGTACCTTGCTAAATTCTTCTTGGGTAGGCTCGTATCTCCATAAAAGGAAGAGCTGAAAGAGGTCTTAGTAACAATAGTAACTTATCACCATTAAGTATATATATCTATACCTATTGAGCACTTCCCCCATGGCAGGTGTTGTTGTGTGCTGGGTAAATTACACAAACAAAAGCTCACCTTTGCTGAGCTTATATTCTGATAGGTAATAATAATAACAGCTATTATTTATCGAGGCACTTTTCTTATCTCATTCAAGCCTGTCAATAACTCTAAGTAATAAGTATTAATATTGCCACCTTATAGGAGAGGAAACAAGCCTAATGAATCAATTTAGCTTGGGTAATGTAACTCAGCTAATACTCAGCAGACGCAGATTTGAACCATACATTTCATTCCAAAGCTCACATTTGTTCCACAGTCCCAGTATGTTGTTATCATGACTGGTACTGTCCCCATTTTACCAATGAGAAACAAGCTATGTGCAAACAAAAAGGCTGTAAGGAGAGACTGTATCTCGATATAATTAGCAAATAGAACCCAAGTTTGTGATTCCTCTTCCGGGTACCAGAGCTATAGTCTGTCGTTTATTGATTACCCTCCCCCAAACTCATTGACTGTCTAAATCAAAGAGCAGACCAGAGCCAAAACAGGTCCTCTTTTGGGCAATAGTCCATATCCAGTTTGCATTTCTAA